CGTCCTCTAGGGGTCGCTATGGGGAAACCTAGAGGACGCAGTGTCTCGTTCCCTACTCAGGGAACCATTGTTACATAAGTAACCTGAGACACTTTCCTTCTAAGTACATTTTCCATATCCACCCAAAAAAATTATATATATAATAAAATCCTTGTGTAGACACATTTACAAAACAGATGGATAATATAGACTCCTTTTCCATTAAGCAAACAAATCACAGGAATAATCAATATCCAGATGAACTCTCTCTAACACACTTTTAGCTGCATATACCATGAAACATTTTAAATATAGCCTATTTTACTTTATTTAAACAGTATATTTCACAAACATGCCAAGCTTTATTCCAATTCTAAATACACTGGTCCACAATAAGCTTCTGACCAGGGCCGGCCCAAGCCTTTATGGGGCCCTAAGCAGAATTTTATTTGGGGGCCCCTTGGTGTCGCCAATATGACTGATTATTGTCAATGCTTGATTAGTCGCACACTATAAATCGAACTCACCCATTATCAGTTTTAGCTGTGTTGTAGCTGTGTTGCTTACATCATTACATCTGCGATTTTTAATTGTAACAGTAGCAAACCCACAAGAGTGGTCAGGTGTTAATTTGCACTTTATGCATTTACAGAACAGAATGCTACAAACAACATCAATTATTATACACAGCAGCAAGCCATCTGTACATAAAAAACAACAACTCTTAATCTATAACTAACTAATTGAGATTGAGGCATAATGATTGTAGTGAGTTTTGCTTTCGCCAACCTAGGGAGGAAAGCAATTGATTATGTTGGGTGTTGCAATGTCAGAGCTACGTTATCTGGAAAGATAAACTGTTGCTACTCTGAAAGAAATAAGTTGAAGATCCCTATTATGCATCAAACAAATACATGAAAGATTTGCTATAAACTGCAATCAGCTATGTAATATCTAATGTAAATGAGAAAAATCATATACTGATAATATCTAACAATGCCAAGGTCTCTGGAAGAGATTTGGATAAGTGATATTTACGTTCTCTGTGGTAGAGTTATGGCGGTCACAGGCCAAAACCTGAGGAATCAGTCTGTTGGTGGGTGAAGGGCAGAAACTGCATTTTGTCCAATAGGAAGTCCTGTCCTTCCCGGGCTTTGTACCAAAGGTCTTCTTCTTGCCCTCTAAGAGGTGTCTGGATCAGCTATGTAATATCGAATGTAAATGAGAAAAATCATATACTGATAATATCTAACAATGCCAAGGTCTCTGGAAGAGATTTGGATAAGTGATATTTACGTTCTCTGTGGTCGAATTAGCAGTCCGATGTCGGTGACTTCATCCACTGGTTGTGCTGGTAACAAGCTGGTAACAGTGCGGGGAAAGGAGCAGGAATTCGTTTCAACAGTCTTGAACACAAAGCACTGTATGCTGATCTCCTGGAGCACCAAAGGGTCCTAAAATCTGGAACACGCAGATGTGGCCCTGGAGTAGGTGCAGAAGGTCTTTAGCCTGGAACACGCAAAGGTACCTTGGAGTGAAGGTTTGCTCGCCGGAGCTTAACTTTGTTGCAGATGTCTGTGTGTCTTCTGCCTCTCTGGGCTAGAGACTCAGAACTTGGTCGATCCGCTTTGTCTCTCTAGGATGGAGACTCAGGACGTGCTGCATCTGTTATTGTCTCGCTGGATGAAGACTATGAATGAAGTCTGAACATAGATTATCTCTTTCCTCGCAGGCTGGAGGCTCAGAACGTGGTTGTATCTGTTGCTGCCTTGAAGCTGGAGACTCAGGACTTGGTATCTGTTATTGCCTCTTCCCTCACGGACCCGAGGCTCAGAAAGTTGGTGATCTGCTGCAGTTCTTTCCTTGACAGGACTCAGACTCAGAACGGAGGTTGATCTGCTATTGTCTCACTGGACTCGCCGGAGATTCAGAACTTCGGTGTTTCTGTTAATGTCTTATCCATTGCAGTACTCAGACTCAGAACTTGTTCTGTTAGTGTCTCACCCTTACAGGCCGGAGACTCAGAAAAAGGAGTGTCTTTTTGGAAGGTACATTTATCTCTTTCCAATGAGGAGGAGATTGCAATCTGACACTTCTCCATTTCCAGGCTGTGATTGGCAGTTTCCATCAGAGTGGGGGGACACGGTGTGGCCCACCCTTCTTTCCTCCTGTGGAACTTATTTGCATAGTCCAAACACACATTTAGAAAAATGTCACTAAAGCTTTACCAATGCATTATTCACTTACCAAACCTCTTCCAGAGACCATGGCATTGTTAGATATCAGTATATGATTTTTCTAATTTACATTAGATATTATATAGCTGATTGCAGTTTATAGCAAATCTTTCATGTGTTTGTTTGATGCATAATAGGGTTCTTCACCTTATTTCTTTCATAGTAGCAACAGTTTATCTTTCCAGATAACGTAGCTCTTTGTGTCTTCCTTGTGTTGATGATACAGAAAGAGGTTCTACAATTTTGAGATCCCACCACTCTTTCTTATGTGATGTACTCATAACCACACCTTAAGTGACACGTGATCCAAATATCATAACGTCCTTGGTGACGTGAGTATCCATCACTACAGTATTTCGCCTCCCTAGGTTGGCAAAAGCAAAATTCACTACATGATATTGGAATATAATAGCAAAGACCCCAAAGGTAGGCAAAGGTAAATAATGTTAAGCTGTTATTAGAAACAGAAATGTTTTATTACAAAAATATATACCCAGGAAAGTTATTTTTACACAGAAGACAAAAACTTTAATCTAAAATTAGCTAAGTAAAATGTTATATTATAATATATCAGGGTTGCCAACATTGGTTGCCTGGCTGGAGTGAGATACATTAATATATAACACACACAAAAATACACACTGCCCTTTACCCACTCTTTGTCTATAGTGTAAATTTTTTAAATGCTTAAAATATTTTAAAGCCTATATTTTTTAACTCTACAGTTGTGCAGTAAAACTCACTTCAAATATTTACTTTTCATTCATGAAGATGAAAAAAATGGCCAAAAATGTGTCTCCTGGTGGAAAACAAAGACTTAAGATGAAAATGACATGAAATTAACATTATAACCAGTAGATAGCAGCAGAGGATCACTCATCAGCTCAGTTGCCCTTTCAACTCCCTAGTTTTTGTGACATCTTGCTTTTGGATTTATTATAAAATTATTATTATACCAATTTTTTGTACTTTTACTGTACTAAAGTATGAATAAATAAGTTAATTATTAATGGTATAATAATTAAATAATGCATTAGGAATTTTATCGTTAATGGTAGAAGCTGATATATATATATATATATATATATTCAGCCAACACAGTTTCTGCTGAATTTACTCTGCATCACTTAATGCACTGCTCTATTTTGACATCAGCTTGTCAGATAATTAATTCCGTCCATTGCTACAATATTTATCAATGTCAATCATAGCAATGACTCGCGGAACAATTTAGCAGATTCACTTACGTAATTTTTTTTACATTCGCGTTATTTGTCATCCCTTAAACAGACTAACAAAACTTTTCTTCAAAATTGAAATGGATTATGTGAGAAACATTTTTTCTTGTTATAATGGGAAGATCTGCAAGCACGTAGAACTCTGTAAACTTGTGAAAACAATTAGTTCAGAGCGGATTCTGACTAATCTACAGTAAACACCTCTGATCTGATTTGTGCATGACGCGTCGCTATGGAAAAGAATGGACAAGAATAGATTATTTAATATTACGTTTTTGTATAATTACCATTGCCACAATATATCACAAAAAAAAGAAAGACATTTCATGTACTTTTGGGGCACCCTTGGTGGCCACGGGGCCCTAAGCAGCTGCTTATGGCGCTTTTCCACTGCGTGGTATGACTCAGCACGGCTCAGTATGGTACGGCACGGCACGGCTCGGTTT